AATAACCCCAGGCACATTTATGGCGTGACCTTCAATCCTTTGTTAAGGTTGGCGGTCGTCGCCAACCACCATGACTGAGCACTTATGCCAGGAAATAGAAAGGCGCCATGTGCGGCACCACTGGGCGAAAGCCTGTAAATCGCTCTTTAGGAGCTCAAGCACGATGTCACGATCTGCCGGCTTATACCGATATGCAACTTTAAGATCATCGGCATACATGAAAGGCCTACCATTCTGAAATAAATCGGGTACATCATTAACGAAAAGGCAAAATAAAAGCGGGCCGAGTACACTACCTTGAATGACTCCACTCCTCACACGTGTGGGGTTGGAGATGGTATTGGAAATCTTAGCTCGTTGTGTACGAGTGCCCAAATAAGAGGATATAAAATTCAAAAGTTTGCCACCTATTCCGAAAGAGGACAATTTCAAGAGGAGAAGAGCATGGTCAACACGGTCAAAAGCCTTAGTGAAATCGAAATATACTGTGTAAAGTGCAAAACAATTGTCCCTATATTGGAGAACATGACCCAAGAAAGAGAGTTGACAGGTGCCACAAGATCGAGCTCTGAGGAATCCATGCTGAGCAACACTCAGTAAGTTATTCGCTGTTAAGTGACACATCATCTGATCTTTGATCAATGTCTCTAAGATCTTCGAAACTGCGGGGAGGGTGTTTATTGGCCGAAAGTCATTAAATGATGTAGATTTGCCGTGCTTAGGAATAGGCAAAATGTATGATTCCTTCCACAATGTAGGATAAGTTTCACTTTCAAGAGCGAGATTAAATATCTTGCATAAGAGGGATGAGAAAATCGTGTTTGCATCGGCTTTTAAAATGCTTACTGGGACACCATCAGGGCCTGGACTATAAGATTGACGAAAACGCCGAATCGCAACAGTCACATACCACAGAGTGAAAGTTATAGTTTCTAGAACTGCCCCGGTCAATGACTGGATGTTCAGAAGCGGAGTGGTCGAGTCTTCAATAAACGTTTTGGACAGGAAATCATTGCAGCTATCCGCGGTTAACTGGGCATCAACTATGGGGTTTCCGAGATCGTCTCGAAGGATGGGATACTGCGTCTTTCTCTGAGTTCGTATTTTTCTAGAGAACAGTTTCGAGACATTTAACGAATGGTTTTCGGTAAACTGGACCTCGTCGGCTAGCTGTTTTTCTTCAGACAATCTCTTAGCTCGATCAAAAATATCACAAATCAAGGGCAGAACAGAAACATCGTTCTGCAGATGGAAACGACGATAAAGTCTGCGCAATCTGCGACGAAAGGGTAAGGGTAGGAAAATAGATAGATAGATAATTTTTATTAAAGACCCGTCAGGGTCCCATCAAAGCAAGTTAAAATAAATTTGCATGCGAGTTTTAGACGAGGTAGGCCGAATCTTTACAAAATGCAATTCATAGTTTCTGAATTAGAAGTCCATTGAGAAACATGATGATTGAGGGGTGAAAAAAACTCCTTGGAAAAAGTTAAAAAGGATTGGATTAATTTTACAGGAGAAAAAAACCCCTCTTTAAAAATAATAACAGAAAAAAGCGAGCAATACTGGCCTGTAGGTGGCGGTATATAACGGAATGTTGTCGGTCATCGTCAGGGTACCAATAAATGTCCGCCTTGATGGGTACGAAAGTGGGTCAGACAGGACTGGCTTGCAAATGGCATTGTACACGGGATTCACAATTGAGATCGTCTGGGCCTGATTGATACGCCGCGTCAAAGAGGCCAGACGAGAGGAACCCAGATGCGATCGGCCACAGCACGCTTCGAGCTCAGCCGAGCAGTGAAGATTATTCCAAAGGAAGGCATATTTGGAAGCAAAGAAGAGGGAGCGCTTAGATGTAGTACAAAGAGGCGGCGGAATCACCATGCAGGAGTTGCGCGTGGCATAAGACCGAGCTCTCGGAGTGAGAGTGTTAATAATTTTCTTACGGGGGACAAAACGAGAAATAAGCGGATCCAAAATTTCGTACAGTTTTGCAGTGCAAACATTTACATCCGAACTAAGGAAGAAATCAGTCCAGTCGTAGGAATTAAGGTGTGTTAATAATTCGGTTGATTTAATATTATTAAGACAGCTTTGATTGTGACTTAGCATTGAATGCTTCTTGCTCCTGATATATATTTATCTTTTCCGGCTCTCATTCCAGACAACCACGGTAAGCCTCCTGAAAAACACGAAGGAACTGTGCGACGCCCCTTTACAGCAGGCCAGATAGGCTGACAACCAGCAACTAGAAGGCACCTAAATTTACCTGTAAGACCCGGAAAAGCAGGTTTGTTTAAAAGGAGAACAAAACTAGCTAGCGGGAAAAAAGAGACGGGAGGCTTTGTGTCGTGATTTGAGTGTGAGTCTTCTCTTTCACGTTTTCATATGTGGACAAAGGGCTAATTCCGGACACCGTCCAGGACCCCGTGGATATCGCGCCACCAGGACCACCTTCCTGACTCCCGAGCATCTTCTTTCCTCCGTCTATTCCCCGAGACTTGCCCGCGCCTCAGACACTCCTTGTGTCCCCGTTTCTATGCCCCTATCCTCCCACAATACATTGTTTACGCGTTGGACTTTCTTTGTCTAATCGGAGCATATCTGGTGTGTTGAAATCTTGTCTGTTCGCCTAATGCCAAAACCCAAGTCTAACCGTTCAGGAAAGGGGAAAACAAACCCGTCTCCATCTTGCTCCGTCAAACGAGCCGACATTAGCCAGGAAATAGACCCTCAGTCGAAACCCCAGGACGGTCTGTCTACTACAGTGGTGGCAGCTCAACTAAAGTGCTCACAGCCCCCCCCCCGAAATGCCTGAAAACAAGATAAGCACATCACGCGCCGTCGAGATACCACAATACGACGGCACAGACGAGCAAAATTCTACCTGCAGGAGGTCTCAGAGGCAGACAGATCATGGACATTACTTCAGGCCCTTTGCGCCTAAACAGTTAGATAAAGCGCTTAAAGTGGGGTTAGACGCCGATTTACCCTTCGAGACGCCATGCTAACTCCTGGCTAATTTATTCGGACAAACCCGCTGTTTTGGAGGCGCGATATAAGAGTTACTTGATCGACAACGAACACGAGATGAATCTATGAATCAGCTGGTGAAGGACCTCGAACTCCTCACGACCGTGGCATTCCCTTCGTTGGGAACCGAAGATAAGGACAATACTGTGCTTTGTTATTTTATTAACGCCCTACCTTCGTCCGAACTGTCACGCTCACTCTTGCCGCAGCCCCCGGACGATATACAAGACGCAATCGCCAAAACCGAACGCTGTCTTCGATTGTGCCCCTCAGCCTCCCGTTCCCCTCCTTCAGCAGACGCACACGATCGGTATGGCCACCCTACGGCCGCGGAACGAGGCACCTATTACCCTACACGGCGTTTTACCGTACCGAACTGCACGTCCTTCCATCACCGAGGTGAACCTTTCCGCCGGCCAGGTGGACAACCGTTTCCCCGCAACCACGTCTGCTCCTGTCAAAGAAAAACGGGTATTGTCTCTATGACTTGTCGCGCCATCTCTACTTTATCAGGTACCCTTTTTATGTCAGAGTAGCCGTAGCTGGTCAGACCGAAAGGGCGTTGATTGATACGGCAGCGACGGTATTCCTAGTTAACCCGCGAATCCTACAATCGGGTATCCACCACCAACGTAATGAGGCCCCCAACCAGTGAGATTGACCACTGCAGACGGATCACGTTTAACGCACCACGGAATCATACAGCTCACTGTCACCCTTCCTTATTTCAGAGCCGAACACGCCTTTATCGTAACACCACACCTCACGTTGGACATCGTCCTCGGGACCGATTTTTCAGCTCGTTACGAATGCCACATCGACGTACAAAATTGGAGAGTCGAGTTCCGACAAACCGACACGGAAGGCCCGTCGAAGCTCCCAACCGTAGGCGAAACGGATCCCTGTGCAGCAATCCAAGTGGCAGTGCAGATTTCTCCGACATCCGCTGATGACATATAACCCACAGCAGACCGGGCCGACGTTGAGACGGAAGCACTCAGACGGATGTTACTTGAGTTTCACGATGTCTTTGTCAGGGACGACTACACGCTGAACCGAACCAGTCGTATACGATACGCCATTCAAACGGGCACAACGAAGCCAATTTGGCTGCCACCACGGCGCATTCCAGCGCATTTACAAAAGGAGGTCGATACGTTATTAGATAGCATGTTGGCTACGGGGGTGATAAAACCTTCTCATTCTCCTTGGACATCACCAGTAACACTAGTTCCCAAGAAAGACGTCAAAATACGTTTGTGTATCGAATACAGACGCTTGAATGCAGTGACCTTACGGGATTCGTTTACCCTACCACGCATTGGATGTACGCTTGATGCCTTAGCTGAGTCCAGGTGGTTCTCCACTGTAGACCTAAAGTCCGTCTATTGGCAAGTGGAAGTGGAACAGGCAGACCGCCAAAAGACGGCGTTCATCCTGCCACAAGTATTGCATGAAATGGAATCGATGCTTTTCGGTCTCTGTAAAGCGGCCGCTACAGCCCAACGGCTGATCCAAGTAGTGTTATCACACCTTTGTCCCCGCTAATGCCTCATATACTTTGATGATGTTATTGTCTCCGGGCAAACGATCACCCAGCATAACGAAATCTACGCGCCGTGCTCCTAGCGCTGCGCGAAGCAGGCCATATGCTTAACCCGCAGAAGTGCCAATTCCTTCGAGAGAAGATTAATTACCTTGGACACAAAGTCAGATCATCCGGTATCTAAGTATCCTCCGAAAAGGTGGGAGCCATACTCACTTGGCTGACACCAAACTCTACCACGGACGTCAGAAGCTTTCTCGGGTTGGCGTCCTATTAGCGGCGGTTCATCCGCTATTTTGCAGGTATTGAGCGTCCGCTGCACCGCCTTACAGAAAAAGGGCGCGAATTTCGTTGGACGGATGAATGCCAAACTGCGATCGATGAACTCAGAGTCCGCCTGTCTACAACACCGATACTAATGCTCCCCAACATCACCGAGACAGCGTCATCCTTCGTCCTTGACACGGACGCCAGTGCTTTCGTCATGGGTAGTGTTCTATCGCAAGTCGACGGTAACGGCATAGAACGCGTTATCTGCTTCGCCAGCAAAACACTCACCAAACCACAACGAAATTATTGCACATCCCGAAGGCAACGGATTGGTGGAACGAACAAACCGCACACTGAACCAGCTGTTGAAGGCTTTCGTGGAAGACCATCACCCCCACGACTGGGACAAACGTCTACCGTGTGCCATGATGGCGCACCTTGCCAACACGCATATGTCAACAGGCTACCAACCCTTCTTTATGCTAACAGGGTGGCAATGTCGCCTTCCCGCAGATTCGCGTTTTCCACAACCCGCCGCAAGCGAATACGCCCCAGACAACTACGTATGGCAGCTACAGAATTGACTACGCTCCACCTACAACCTCGTACGCAACCACCTGGGAGCGGCCGCTGAACGACAAAAAGCATACTTCGACCGCCAGGTACACGGCAATACGTACCAACTAGGCGATCTGCTTTGGCGTTTCCGGCCGGCTTCGCCCTTAGGGACGTCGAAAAAGTTCTTTTACCCGTGGGAAGGGCCGTTCGTGGTCGTCGACGACGACATACACCCCACCACATATGTATTACGTGATGCTCCACTCCCCGATGGACCCACCTTCACCACGTATTCCGACAAGCTAAGACCGTACCGAGGACGGCTACCCACCGCAACCGCGGATGTGACACCTATCGTCCACTTGCCTTTAGTCCCCACCCCAGTAGCTGAAGAAACAGTGGACAGGGATCCATCTGAAGAGGGAGTAAGTAAGGCCCAAAAGGCAGGTTTGCCTAAAAGGAGGAAAAACGGACCAGCGGCAAAAAGAGACGGGAGGCTTTATGTCGTGATTTGAGTGTGCTTCTTCTCTTTAGCGTTTTCAGATGTGGACAAAGGGCTAAATCCGGACACCGTACAGGTCCCCGTGGGTATCGCGCCACCAGAACCACCTTCTTGCCCCCCGAGCATCTTCTTTCCTCCGTCTATTCCCAGAGACTTGCCCGCGCCTCAGACTCTCCTTGTTCTCCCGTTTATATACCCCCATCCTCCCACAGTACACTGTTTACGCGTTGGACTTTCTTTGTCTACTGGGAGCACGCCTACTGTTTTGAGATCTTGTCTGTTTTCCTGATGCCAAAACCAAAGACTAACCGTTCAGGAAAGGGAAAAACAACCCGTCTTCATCTTGCTCCGTCAAAAGAGCTGACATAAGCCAGGAACTAGTCCCTCAGTCGGGACCCCAGGACGGTCTGTCTACTACATCCCCACCTCGAAAATAATTTGAAGGTCAGGCCGGTGTCAAAGTTCTTCAAATCCCTGAAGGACATATTATTCATGCCCCTAAAAACTACCGACCTTCACAATTCAAGTTTTATTTTGTACATATCGTTCTTTTTTAAAACTTTTGCGATCATTTTTCCTTGGAACTCAGTTTTTTAACTTGAAACAAACTCTTAATTCGCGCTCTATTGGCCAAACAGCCACCCAAAACAAATGAAGTCAGAGTGCAGTCGAAACGGATTAGTTTGTTTTAGGTTTTTTACCTGAGTTCAAAGGAGACTTACAGTGCCCAAGGGGCGCTATAATAAACCTATTCTATTGAAGTGACCCGCAATCAATTGATACTTAAAGCTTTATTTGGCCGCAGCATGAAATGCCACTGAGAGTAAACAATCAAATTTGTCGTTGGCGTTGGAAGGGCGATAGACACAGTCAACGAGTAAGGAGAACTTATTTCGCAGTGCAACCTGGAGCCAACAGCTGCATTTTACCGCGAAAAAAATGCAGAAGGTCCAGCGGCAAAAATGTAAGTGTTTGCTTAGCGTAGACGCAACTGCTACCATCACGGCTTTTTGACGATCATTTCGAATGCAAGTACAGGCTAGAAGGGAGAGTTCATAGTCAGCTAGGGTGGCTGGTGTCAATGTCCCAGTTACTAAAACAATATCTGGACAATGGACGAACACAAGAGTCTGAAGCAAAGGCATCCTATTTAACAGGGATCTGACATTTAAAACAAAAAGTTTGAGGGAAAAGGCTGTCTGTTTCTGAGTGAGGTGGGCTACGTCGTCCAGTGCTTAACTGCCCATGGAACGCACGGTCCGAATGCACCCATCCAGTTCTGCAAAAACTTTGTGGCATGAAAAGATTCTTACGTGATTAAAAAGGACTAGAACATTGGGACGAAAGGACGGACAGGGAACTGGTGCCCATTGTTAGTTAGCTAATTTTCGGCTGGAAATCCACGGAACGGATACTGTAACGTATTCCAGCCGGATCGAAACTGAGGAGCGGATGAGTTACCTGACCCAGTATGGACATTAGCATGAGGAATGCATTGGTAGAACGGTCGCTAAGGAAACAGGTTGGGGTGGGGGACGCACTGTTTCCATTGGAGCACGTGTGATACGGCAGGAGTGAACTGACCGTTTTTCTTTTTGTTTTATTAAAGTGGCCTGTTTCCGAAAGGGAGTAGTGTGTGTGTTTTTTTTGTGCCTGCAGGATCTACTGAAGGAGTCCGCACCCCACCCCCTGTAGCAGCCTCCAGCTCTACACTCCCCGTGCTTCAACCAGCCAGCGACCGGGATTATATTGTTAGAGAACCTCCCTTGGACCAGCATTAGTCTGCGAATATTCTTTCCTTCCCCTCCTGTTTTCCGATTCGTATACGCTCACTGACGTTCTTCGTTTTTCCTTCCCGTCTCCACTCATTCAATACATTTATATATCAACTATCTTAGTTGTCTCCGTTACACTCGTTTGTCTGAAGTATTGCCTGCCGTACGATGCCAAAATCCAAAACTGAACCGACAAGCCAACCCGGACCAAACCCCGTTTTATGTGATTCTATTACGACAAAGAACGTTAACCCAGGGCCGGTCTCCCCGACAGGACAGCCAGACGGACCGCCCATTACACAAGAATCCTATTAAAGGGCGGGAATGTCGGCATATTTGGCCTAACCGCCTCGATATGATTGCTTGGGCCGTGGTGTTTGAGGCAGTGGTAGGCGATTGTGGAGAAAAAGATTTTATAATGGAGCTGAATTTACTAGGTGTCCGAGTGGCTGAGACGGCATTTGGATTCGCCATTGACTTAGGCACATGCTTAAGCTTGATAGGGGTTGCTGGGGGGAATCGGTAGGGGCGCGTTTATGCCAGGCGTGTTGGCGCGTTTAAAGATCTCAGTATCAAGTGTAATCGAATTCCCTACGGAATTGACTATGCCGTGACGTACAGAGGCCGCAGATGATGATGATGATGATGATGGTGGTGATGATGATGATGATGATGATGGTGGTGATGATGATGATGATGATGATGATGATGATGATGATGATGATGATGATGATGATGATGATGATGATGATGATGATGATGATGATGATGATGATGATGATGATGATGATGATGATGATGATGATGATGATGATGATGATGATGATGATGATGATGATGACTTATTCAAACTGACAATAAGAGCCATAATGTCGGTGTTGGTTTTTGACAATTCCAATTTGTTCAGTCTTCGTTGCAATGGTGTGAGGTCCGGCGAGAAGGATCGGCGCCAGCATAATTCGAGAGGACGAGGCGTTAGTGCTGCTGTTCCCTCTTTACTCCGTTTTCCTACCCGGAATGCTTTCAGGGCTTCTATTTCCATGTCTGCCTCGAGTAATTGGTTTAACTGACCATGAAAAGAAGAAAGATCCTCCGAGATACGGTCTTCAGGTCTGACTGCATTTGATCCACACAAGTCCTGAACAACCAGACACAATTGACGGTCTCGGCACTCTTCATTTTGTCTTTCCGGTGAATTCTCTGCATGGGGACGAGGACAATTTATGGAGTCCTCGCTCAGACCCACACTTTTGCTGTCGGCTGAATGCCCCGAGGAACCCATCGGGATTGGTTGTCACTTCAGACTCCTGTTATGGCGTTTCGCCACCTCAGCCCCCTACCCAGGAGTTCCTGTCTTCGTAACCAAATGATCGCCCTATAGGACACATGGGGTGCTTGGGAGAACAAGAGAGCAACGGTAGACAGGGTGACCTAGTTATATCGCTCATTGGCAAAAAAAGAAATCCTGTCGCTTTCAGCAAGAGGAGTAGGCGAGATGGCCCCCGCGACAAGTAATAGTTATGTAGCATCGCTTAGACCGTCTTTCGTGGAAATAGAGTCCGCCATTATCGGTGGTTTCGTTTTCATTGTCTTGCGGCTACCGGTACCTGCGCCTCTGCCGGCTGAATTGCTACCCGTGTTTGGAGATGCTCCCGAGACGATATTTATCGCGCGTTTTTCGTTTTGCTCCTCGTCTTCTGGATGTTAACACTGGCAACCTTCTGGTCATCAAAGTTCTGCTGCACGAGCGTCCTTAAGTTAGCAAGCTCCTTTTCAAGCTGTCTTGCTTTGATTTGGATATATGCGCACCCACTGCAAGACTTGTCCTCGTACGTCGCGCTTTTCGCGGTAATTGCTCCAGTAACACGCTTTGCTGATCGTTGGCTGGAAGCGCAGATAGAGAGAGCTTAGATTCTGTATGCGAGAGACACCTCATCCAGCTTATCTTCTAATGAGCTGACGGCGCCGGCCGTACTATTATCGTTAAATTGCTGAGACTCTATAAACTTTGGAATGCGAGAATAGGTGTATTTTCGCTTCTGATGTTATAACAAACACTTTGGATTGGGTATGAAGAATCGAAGTAGGTATTTAAAACCCAATGAATGAAAAAATACCTAAAAACTGCTGAATTGTATGAAGTTTACTCAGAAACGACTCAGCCGTTTGCAGATCTCTAAGGTCTTGATTAAGGTCAGATCTGGAAGGGTTTTTGGCGATTGTTTTCCTAGGGTGTTAATAACCGCGAGTTGGCTGTGTAGTTAGTTGAACTGCGCCGACAAAAGAATTGTACTTCGTTTTCGTACGAATTTGGACACGTGAAAAATATTTTCAGACAAGCTTCGCTTTTCCACCTTAAGAAGTTTTATTTTCGCGAGTACGAAGAGGCCGTCCGATTCTGTCGTTCCTTCTTTAATCATGAGTCCATTTTGGCTTATTTTCATCTTTTGATGTGATTTCAGTTGCCTGCGTACGATGTGATTATTAATGTCAGTAGCCTACTTCTTCCCGTCCCTTTGCGAGAGACGGTGATCGTCTGTTCTCTGCTCTTCTGAGGCGATTTAAGATCCTACCTTATTATTTTCTCCGCGGTTGCTTCCGAGGTTTCCGTCTGTGTGGTATTCTTTCCAATTCAGAATCCCTTTACCTTCTTCTGTGGAGGAGATCGGATAGCTTAGAACCCATATCAAAATGTTCTTGCAGTCATGCAATTTATTTAGTGTAGTATCATTGTGTGAGCAGCTCGATGAATATAAAAATTTATTACGGTCGACGTTGCAAGCCGGTGCATCCAGCCAGCGAAGGGTAATCTGATCACGGACAACAGGAGTTGGAGGACCGGCAGTGTTATTAGGGGAACTCGTACTTGCGGAGATTATTTCTAGGGCTTACGGTCCACTTCATTTTGCGTGATTCTCGCACTCATTCCTGCCTGCCTTGAGCATATCTTCCATCCGTAAGAAGAAGATTTTAAGCCCCCATACTTGCAAAATGAGGAAAACTCATCATAATAAGCCTAGCCTAGGGAGTGCTACGTGACAAGTCTATATCATCCCGGAAAAACCACCTAATAATCTTAGTTCACGTAGAACGCCAACCAGTATATTTCTATTGCCCATTTTTCATATAAAAACGTAAATGTGCTCGGTTTGTCTCCCACGATAGACAATCGTCGTAGAAAACCAAGCGCCCTCTGGGTTTAACGGGACATTTTTATATTAGACACATCCAGTACTTAAGTCTTTGCGATATATACATATAACTATGAGACACCAACTGCTAATCCATGTTTGACCATGTAGAATATCACGGATTCAGCACCTCTCCCACAGAGTGAACCATGTGTGAAACCCTCAACACCTCTCCTAACGTCCGCCACCTATCCAAACGCGTTCTTCACCCCCACACATAAGCGCCTGTCTTGTCGATGTAACCTCGATGTCCCCCTAGCTCCCCAGTAGGATTATCTCCCTCACACTTTTCATTTCGTCTGACGACGGGTTGGTGTAACCGACTTGAAAATCCACAAGTATACCTCGATTGTCCGAAGAGCCTTCTCCCTTTATTATATCGCCTCGGAATGCATACTACCTCCGTTATTCATACATATATACCCTACTGAGATGGAATTCTGTCGTCCTCTGTGTCATACCGCCAGAAGATAAAAAGAATGAGGAAGTCCCCATAAGCTCCTTATCAAATCAATATTTTGGCGCGACAACTTTGGCAGCAAATATACCAGATTATAGAAGAGTTTGAGCTTGAAACCTCTGGATTAGAAGATGTCACACCAAATTAATACGTTGACCTAAATTCATCCGGACCTATAACACAGGAAATGCTTATAGCCTTGCAACGCCAGAGGGTAAAATAACGGGAGAATTTCTAAAACATCACAAAACCTGGAGATCTGAAAATTAATATTTGTCAACTTTCTGCGTCAACGGACTGCAAAAGTCTTCCAGCCACGACGCAAACCTGAAAATCTAGTCAAATTTCTGTCCATGGCGTATACCGATATTTCTAAATAAGGTAACTCGTTTCGGTAACCAGTGCCATATTATTATTATTATTATTATTATTATTATTATTATTATTATTATTCATTTGACCCACTTGTGGAAAACTCGATGGTCTCGGGTGAGACTCAAACCCCTGACAGGTAAGGCAAAGCTTGGGAACTGCCAAGGCGCACTCGAGCCTTGACCTTGCTGACGTGGGTTCAAATTCCATTGGAATCGTCGGTTTTTTTCACAATTGGGTAAAACGTACCATCGAAACTCGTCAAAAACACTGTGCCCTGATAGCTTCCAGAGTACACAGTCCGACCGGGTTTATCCTCCGAAACATTAAAATCAGCGATATTAGAATGCGTCTTTATAACATGCACGTCAGACCTAGCCTGAAATACTGTTCGCCTTTATTTATCATCATGCGTGCTGCTATGTGCGAGAAAAGAGAATCCGTCCAACATTTTTTTTCCAAGGGAGTTTTAATCTCGGAACGCCATAATCCGACTTACCAAGAACGTTGTGGATTTTCAAGCCCTGATGCCGTGTGGTTACGTCGATTGCATACAGGGCTATTTTTTACTATTTAAGCTTTGAAACATTCGCACTTTTAACTCGCATACTAATTTTAAACATCTTGGCCACCCCGCGACGTCTTTTTATTTCTTCCTCTGGCACGTACCGTTAAGCATCGTCCGTCCTTTTCTGTGAATACAACTGCAATTTGGAGCAAGTTACCCAGGAATGTAGAAATTCTGCAAAATTATTCTTTTTTAAGAGAACCATCACTCATTTTTGCATTCAGGAAAACTCCCACAAGTTTTGGATGCGGAATCAACCGATTTAATCTACCGTAGTGATGGATTTCGTGGTCTCTGGTCCCCCTGTCCGGTGCTGGCCTGCAACATTAGGGACAATTTTTCCAGCCGACAACGAGCAACGGTCTTTCAGTGCTTCTATTTTGTTCAGTCCAAATTTCGTGAAAAGGAATAGAAACTGAAATTATCCAATGCAGCTTTATCCGCCTCTTTCTGGATAGACGTCATTCCCCGGGCGGCAGTTTTTTTTCCTCTGAACCATTTAAACTAGACAAAAACACCATCCTCTGTATTTACTCCTTAGGAGTTTTTTTTCACTGTTAGCCCAATCCGTGGTCTGCCTTTCTTTGACATAACCTGTAAACTGGCATTAAATACAATTATTAATATTCTTATAAACCCAACCTCAATCTCGGCCCTAACCATAACCCTAACCTAAATTCTACCCTCTGCATAGAATTTAGGGCAAGACCACTTATAATAAACGGGGGAGGATTTATACTTCCATGCCCATTCAAAGTTTTATGTCTATAAGAAAGTAACTTTCTATTGGACCTCGTCTAACTGGCCGCATCATTTAAATTAGAACAAATACGAAACGAATAAATCTCACAGGTACCAAACGACTAAAGCGTTTTTTGACCAAAAATAAGCAAAAAATTGTCGTATTTAGCACCCACACGGGTACTCTCATGGCATGTACGCCGTCTGGGAGAGCCTATGTTGTCACGAGTTAGCACCATATATCCTCCTCTCAAGTGGACTATACTCCTAAGCTGGTGACTGTAAAGACACTGACTGATGACACTGGTTGTTTCAAACGCCAACACATTGCTACCCTTGTCTACTTTTTAAGAAATCCGCTACTCTTTCTCCAGTAGTAGAGTCTTTGGTTGGGAAACAAGCATCGCTTGCAGTGTACGTCAACGGTCAGATCTTGTGCGGTTAAAATAAGATTAACCCTGTTATCAGAAAAAACAGGAGTAACATAGGGAGTTGTTATTATTCTAGGGATAGTTTGTGGCGAATCATTCTGTGGTTTGTATGCGTCTCACAGCTGATGCTTCTACTGGCATTCCGGATAAAATTAAACAAGAGCCGCCACATTTAGCTTTGGAGGTTGAGGTTTAAGTTGGCTAAAAGTTGTACTATAGAGTTTGAGAACTGCGCCGCGCTTCTTAGAATGAAACGTTTTTTTAAGATTGCTATTTTTGAAAGGAGTTCCAGCGAGGAAGTATGGTCGGAAAGTTCTTTTTCCGTCTAGTCGTACAGAGCCAGAATCCATCCGTGGGCATTTCAAAGTGTTGAATGGCATTCATCACACATAACCTCCGTCGTGCACACTATTCGCACTTGTCTATTGACGAAGATCAGACTGCCTCACGACCCGCGTTTATCCTGACTGCGCTGAACCCGCGCAAGATCATAACTACTATCGTAGTGGTGCGCCTTACACGCACATGTGGTGGTGCGCCTTGGACGCAGGCCTCCAAACCACGTCAAACAGTGCACACAATTCCATCACCAGCCGTTTGTCAAACTCAGGCAGTCGACGGGTACATTGGGAAGGGAAAAGAGAGTGAAGGCGGCATTAGAGGGTCCACGATCATCATCATCATCATCATCATCATCATCATCATCATCATCATCATCATCATCATCATCATCATCATCATCAGCAGCAGCAGCAGCAGCAGCAGCAGCAGAAGCAGCAGCAGCATCATCACAACCTGATGAGACCAAAAGACCCACTGCCACGGCATAAACCGTATGGAGTCGTTTACCGGATCTGGTGTAGTTGCGGACAAAGCAACTACGTCGAAGAAACTGGAAGACTGCTTGGGACGCGAATCGCCGAACACGTGGCAGCGGTGCGGAGAAATGACGCCAACTCTCAGGTCTCGGCGCATTCAACGAGACCCGGCCACACATTCAAGTTCGATGCGGTCGGAATTCTCGCGAGAGGGGATAATCGCGTGAGCCGCAAATTGCTAGAGTCATGGTTCACGGGACCTCAGTCTATCAGCAAGTGCAGAGACCTCACTACGCCATATTCCGTGCTGAAGCATAGGCTGGCCAAGGCAATTGACCACTCGGGGAGCGCGCAAGCCGGTGAGTCAGATGGCCGAGCAATCATCACGCCAGCATCCAACACGAGTGATGAGATCTCAGCAATTAACAACTTACATGCCGGCTATCAAGCCATTAGCGCACCAGCGGGCAACAATCCTTGATGAAGGGGAGCGTGGTTAATTGCTATAGATATGCGGTAGCATAGCGACTGCATCCTATAAATAATGCAACTTCCTGTGCACGAGTCACCCTTTTCTACCACTGTCTCTGATGATGGGTTCAATTGAAAATTCCAAACGTCAGGCGAATAAAGCCCTTGTTCCAACGATTGCTTCTTCTTTGGATCACCTAGTTCCTGGAACTCGCATCTTCGCTTGTACGGTGCACACAATCCCATCGCCAGCCGGTTGTCAAGCTCAGGCAGTCGACGGGTGCATTGGAAAGGGAAAAGAGAGTGAAGGCGGCATTAGAGGGCCCACGACGACCACAACCGCCACCACCATTATCGCTATCATTGTCATCGTCATCTCCAGCACCACCACCACCACCACCACCACCACCACCACCACCACCACCACCACCACCACCACCACCACCACCACCACCACCACCACCAGCACCACCACCACCACCACCATCGTAGTCGTCGTTGGCATCATCACCACCACCAACGCTCGCCGTCACAAATCTGTTGTGCTCGAATCTATCATTATATGATAAAAGTCGTGGTTTGGAAGATCGTCAACTAACGGGACAATTTGGCCCTTCTCAGGGATGTTAGATTTTAGTGAGAATTTTATGACACTCTCACGCACGTGATATCCGGGCCGTTTGAACAGCGACCTGGTCGTATGTAGCACGCGTAAGCCGACTGTTTAAATTCAGGAGTCACTGAACGCACTCCCGGTCGTTCTGGCTCTGTCTTACCACCAGAGTCAGCTGGGTGAAGGGGAAGGAGTGCAATAGATACAGCGCAAGTCTGCCCAAATACGAAACAATGCCCTGTGCTGCTTCCACTCCGTGAGAAGCAAACTGCAGTTGTTGTCACCTGAGAAGATCAAACGGTAACACTCCGCCACGCCACCTCTCCCCCCCCCCCCTACTGGACGAACACGCAAACCTGTAACAGTTTTGGGAAAAAATAAAGCACAATCATTCGATGCCACCCATAAAAAATCATGTTAAAAAGGCCTTGCATCTGGCCATACACGGTGGCATCTGAGGAAACGGAAGCCTTTATTCACCCAAATGCAGGGCTTTAAGACCGCAACTCAAACAACAGAGTCCTATAATTGTCCTGAACAAAGGCAAAGGCAACAACTTAACCACCCAGCTTTTGAAGGGTAAAAGGCACTCTCTTCCTAGATGTCATTTACCCGGACGCGCGTGAAGCATTTCCAACCCAGCTTTTATAACATAGAAAAATTTATTGCGGGCAATTACGCCTAAAATACGCAGGCTCTGTTCACAGGAGTTCCTAAACCAGATTAAAGGTGTGTTTTCCCTCCGTGGCTGGACAAATAATGAGTTCGTGGAGCGGCTCCCTTCTAGTCCTCAAAGTGTTCTCAGAAATCTATACCCAAGTTGTTACTAAAAGTAATTAATCCAGGCAATACTGTGAGGCAGAAGTCTTTTCATGTCGCCCATAGCTACTTACAGGCGACTGAGAAATAACTGAAAAGTATAATGAGCAGGGATAAAAGGGTTTGAGTCGTCTTAGGGGAATTTGAAAAATAATATATTGACTGATGATCAATTTAGATTTGGAGTGAAATACAACTTTTTGAAAGTCTCACAAAGAGGACAAGTCTACATCTTATGGTGTAATGGATGCATTTGGCCAGAACTGTAAATAGGATATAGCGATTCACATCAGGTAACTCTCCCGTCATTCCAACGGCCTTTTCTTGTAGATATGAGGCCATGAGTGCGGCTACAATCAATTGCATCTTTTGGGCAACATTTCAACTAATGTGACAGAAGACGTTTTTAACGTTTAGTCAGCGGCGTTTGCTTCACTAAATGCAAGGCAACTTTAGGCGGTTGGAGGGCCTGATAAACGATCATTGGTATAGGTATGCGGTGGCATGGCTACGGCATCCTTTAATTACTGCAGCCACATGTGCATGAACCACCCTTATCTGCTTATGTCTCTGATGATGGATTCGAGCAGGAATCCGAAACGTCAGACTAATAAAGCTCTTGTCCCGGCGATCGTGTCTTCTTCTTCGGGCCTGATAAACGACCACCGAGAGTGACTCAACTGCGATGAGTTTGCCTGCTTTGGTTTTACTAATTAGACTACATACACTTAATGACTGACAAA